AACTACTTCGACGCGCCGCCGCCCCGGGTGCGCGAGACGGCCTTCGAAGAGGATGCACCGCTGCCGCGGACCTACCTGGAGAACAAGGCCTTCTCCATGGACGAGCACAGCGCAGGTAGGCAGCTCGCCGCGGGTTGGGGCGGGGCCATCTGTCCTGAAAGGACTCTCTTCTTCCCCTCGGGGGCAGTGGTGGGGGCAGCCCTTGCAGGTCAGAGCCCACAAGCGTTGACCCCTGTATGGAAACCGGCCCAGAGGTGGATTTTTATTTAGACTTGTGTCCTATGAATTGCCAAGTACAGTGGGGCATTGACTTACAAGTTTAATTCGTTCCCTGACGGAGCTCGTAACTCAAATTACTTGTATGCCAAATCAAGAAGTGAACAGGTGAGACATGTGATGCTGGGCTGATGTTGTGGCGTTCACTGTGACGTTCGCTGCGCCAACTAGCCGTGGGGTACCTGAAGCTGGCTCGTGACTCGAATTTTAGCTCGCAGCTCAAAGCAAAAAATCGGCCGAGAGACGGCTCTTTTCTCGAAAAACTCGTTAGTCGGGACACCCGTAAGTCAAGGCCCCATGTAATTTAATGTAAAAATCCAGGTCTCTGTCATTGAAAGGCTGGATCTGGCCCTGCTGCCCCGTCCCAGCCAGCAGCTGCTCCTGTAGGTGCTCCCGCCTCCCCGACCTGGCCCAGCCACGCCCACCACCAGGTTAGCATTCATTGCTCGAACCCTGGCAGGGGGCATGTGCAGCCAGTGCCAGGTGATGGGGGCAATGCTTGTGCCCCTCTCCTCCCTCTGGCACCACAAGTGCAGAAATTGAAGCCCTCAAGTCAGATGTCTGGATTCAGACACTGTCTCTACTGCTTCTAGCTATGGGGCTTTGAGCAGTTTCTCTCATCTGTTAAAAAAAAAGAAAAGAATGTGCTTGGTGGCGCTGCTGTGAGAGGTGCCAGACTGGGGTACCAGGCTGAGGGTCCTACGGTGCCTGGCTGGGCTCTTCTGAGAGTAGAACCTGAGACCAGGCGCAGATGGCTGGCTGGGGAGGTCGGGATGGGGGCATCTCTGGGAGCCCAGACGGCACAGCGGGCAGGGCGAGCAGGGCCAGCAGCTGGTGGGGCCCAGTGGCTGGGGAGCCTCTTACTCGGCTCCTCTGGGCAAGTTCTTCCCCGCAGACCCCCGGGGCCGCGATGGTAATGCATTGCCTGAAATGGGTGTGAATTTGCACATTCCTTGTTGGTCTGTCACTTTGCCAGGCTCGGAAAGCTCTCTGTTAGCCCGGAACACTAGGAGCTTGAAGGTCTAGTCTCCTTGCCGTGAAGTGGGGATGCTAGGACTGCCCATGTAGCTTAGGGTCTTCAGAAGTGGGGATGCTAACCTTTGTTGCGTGCACTCATGGACCAGGTACCACCCTGAGCATTTTAGTAGCTAATCACGTTTAATACCTACAGTGACCCCATGAGGTCCCTTTGCAGACAGGTAATTGAGGCAGAGCCAGGGTGTGGACCAGGCAGAGTTATTCTTTCAGAGCATGTTGGTGCCCTCATGTCCCTGATGAGTCAGGATGCTCTGTGCATTGAGAAGACGGGGGCTCAGTTCCATGTCACAGAGCTGAAGCCCACCACTGGTTCAGTTCAACACTAAGTGCACAGGAGAGTGGGGAGGGGAAAGCGGGTTTTCTGGCTCCCATTACATGCATCCCTTTCTGTGGAAATGCAGCGAGTACATCCTATCCGAGTAAGATCCAGAGACCAAGGGAACTGGGACCCAGGTGAGGACCAGCAGTGTGCAGGAGGCGATGGGGTTCCGGAGGTGCCCCCACCCACATCTGTTACACCCTGACATGTACCAAAGCCAAGAAACTTGTCTTTTAGTCCCCTTTGTTCTCCAAAATACTAGTAGCGTTATTATCCCTTTCTGATGACAAAAGGTTAGTAATACTCATTTAGGAGGCTTAGCAAATAGAAATAATAAAAATTGCTCAAAATACCCTTGCCCAAAGGCAGTGCTCCCATCTTGCAGACTGACTCTCTCTGACACACACACACACACACACACACACACACACACACACACGATGATGCCATAGAGCTGTTCTTAACCTAGCTGCACATAAGAATTCCTTGAGCAGCTTAAAGACAGATGGGTGCCTATCCCTTACTCTGTAAGTCTCTAGGGCCCAGATATTGTAAGCTTCCAGTGACTGTAAGGTGTAAGCAGGTTGAACACTGGGCTGGGAGTGTGCTTGCCTCACTCAGCATCACGGCCAAGGCCTCTCCTGCCAGTGACTGCAGAGCCGCATGTCTGTTTCCATCAGGCACGTGATGTAGTTTTCTGGTCTCCAGCTGGCGAATGTCCCATATGTTTCTGGCTTCCCATATAAAGTTATGCTGCAGTGAACATTTCCTGTTTTTCTGTATCTTTCAAAATTTTTATTTGCAGTTGACGTTCAATATTATATTAGTTTCAGGTGTACAACCCAGTGGTTAGACATTTATATAATTTATGGAGTGATTCCCCCCATAAGTCTAGTACCCACTTGGCCTCATCCATAGTTATTACAGTATTATCTATACTAATAAAAGGGTAATAGGCTAATTACACTGGACATCTTCCAGATGTCCTTCTGGACAAAGCCACAGTGGCAGGGGCTGAGGCAGAGGCGGTTAGGGGCGATCAGGCCGGCAGGGGAGAGCAGTTAGGGGGCGAGCAGGCCAGCAGGGGAGAGCAGTTAGGGGGCAATCAGGCTGGCAGGGGAGAGCAGTTAGGGGGTGATCAAGCTGGCAGGGGACCAGTTAGAGGGTGATTGGGCTGCAGGGGAGAGCAGTTAGGGGGCGAGCAGGCTGGCAGGGGAGAAGTTAGGGGATGATCAGGCTGGCAGGCAGAGGCAGTTAGGGGCGATCAGGCCAGCAGGCAGAGGTGGTTAGGGGGGATCAGGCCGGTAGGCAGAGGCGGTTAAGGGGGATCAAGCTGGTAGGCAGAGGCGGTTAGGGGTGATCAGGCAGGCAGGCAGGCAAGTGGTTAGGAGCCGGCAGTCCTGGATTGCGAGAGGGATGCCTGACTGCTGGTTTAGGCCTAATGCTAAATATTTACTAAAGTGTCACAGGGTATCTATAATAATAAAAGTATAATATGCTAATTAGACCGGACAGCTGAACAACATTCCAGATGTCATTCCAGATTTCCTTCCAGATGAAGCCACCATGGCGGGGGCTGAGGCAGAGGCGGTTAGGGGCGATCAGGCCGGCAGGGGAGAGCAGTTAGGGGGTGATCAAGCTGGCAGGGGACCAGTTAGAGGGTGATTAGGCTGCAGGGGAGAGCAGTTAGGGGGCGAGCAGGCTGGCAGGGGAGAAGTTAGGGGATGATCAGGCTGGCAGGCAGAGGCAGTTAGGGGCGATCAGGCCAGCAGGCAGAGGTGGTTAGGGGGGATCAGGCCGGTAGGCAGAGGCGGTTAAGGGGGATCAAGCTGGTAGGCAGAGGCGGTTAGGGGTGATCAGGCAGGCAGGCAGGCAAGTGGTTAGGAGCCGGCAGTCCTGGATTGCGAGAGGGATGCCTGACTGCTGGTTTAGGCCTAATCCTGTGGGATCAGGCCTAAACTGGCAGTTGGACATCCCCCAAGGGGTCTCAGATTGGAGAGGATGCAGGCTGGGCTGAGGGACACCCCCCACCTGCCATGCACGAATTTCAGGCGGTTAGGGGCGATCAGGCCGGCAGGAAAGCATAATATGCTAATTAGACCGGACAGCTGAACAACATTCCAGATGTCATTCCAGATTTCCTTCCAGATGAAGCCACCATGGCGGGGGCTGAGGCAGAGGTGGTTAGGGGGGATCAGGCCGGTAGGCAGAGGCGGTTAGGGGTGATCAGGCAGGCAGGTAAGTGGTTAGGAGTGATCAGGCAGAGTGATTAGGAGTGATCCGGCAGGCAGAGTGGTTAGGGGTGGTCAGGCAGACAAGCGAGTGATTAGGAGTTATCAGGCAGGCAGACAGGCAGAGTGATTAGGAGTGATCAGGCAGGCAGAGTGGTTAGGGGTGATCAGGCAGGCAGGTAAGTGATTAGGAGTGATCAGGCAGAGTGATTAGGAGTGATCAGGCAGGCAGACATGCAGAGTGATTAGGAGTGATCCGGCAGGCAGAGTGGTTAGGGGTGATCAGACAGGCAGGCGAGCAGTTAGGAGATCAGCCAAGTGCCCTTGATCAACTAACTTCCTGCAAAAAAGAAAATAAAAAATTCCCAGACTGCATCTAAAGTTGCACCGAAGAATCTGTGCCTTGGAGTCCTGATATATACTGCCCCCTGTAATCATCGGATGAGAGCCCTATTTCCCCACGTGTTCACCAGCCTTGTTTGCTGTCAGACTTTTTTTAATAGCCCTGCTTTGCATCATCCCACATGTGTATCCACTGACATTTCCATGGGACCAAGCAGGGCAGCTCCAGGCAAGCCGTGCCCTCAGAAAGCTCAGAGGCTGAGTTGGCATCTGGCTGGTGCTGCCTCTGTCCCTGTTACCTTTGCCTGCAGGGACGCCTGGCCACGCTCCTATGCACGGTGAGAGCAGCTGTTGTCAGCTGTGGCACTAACCTCAGCCAGCTTCTACTGTAAGGAACTGGCCCCACAGCCGGCCACACAGGAGCTCCAGTGCCCTGTTCTTTTGCATTGTCACCTGCTGGCCTTTCGGGCTCCCTTCCTTGAAAGCTGCCTTGGCTTCCAGAGGTGGGACGCATCCCAGGTGGCCTATGGCTCAGCCACGCTGCAGCCTCTGCTTCCTCGGTCCCTTCCCCCAAGGAGGCCCTGATATGCACCACTTCACCAGCCTGCTGCTTATGAATAAGTATCAACAAGGCATGAGGTATGTGAGTAAAAAGATTAAAATACACTGAAGGATGTAGCACCTCAGGTCACATCTTGGGCAGTGTTAGCAGGCGCTTGAAATGCTCACCTTTCCAAGAGCAGGAAAGGAAAGAGTTCTTTCTTCTGGGAGGGATTTGGGCTCAGATCTCAATAGGGCCGAGGGCTATTTAAACCCTAGCCCTTAGTTTCCCAGTGGAAGGCCCTCAGTGACTTGTGGGGGAGGGGGAGCAGCTAGCCTCACTCACAGAGTCTAGATAGGGGAGGGCTGGCCTTCAACCTCTGAACTTTGGTTCCTGTGGGGACCTATGGGTGAGCCCTGCTTGCCTTTCAGAGTTGACCCAGGTCAGAATGGGGTGTTAGCTGAGATTCTCAAAGTTGCAAGTAATGAAAATCTGATTTTAATCAGCTTAAGCAAAGCAAGATTATAGCACAGCAACAAAACTGATGAACTAAGGACAAAGCTTCAGGAGGGGTTCGATCCGAGAGCTCGAGGTGACAAGTTTTGGTATTTCTCCATCTCTTAACCTTTTAGCATCTTGGCAGCCCACAGCTCTAGGCTTGCACAGAGTCCTAGTAGAAAAGAGGAACATTTCCTAGGATGCTAGAGAAAAATCCCAGAGTTAGCTCTGATTGGACCTGATGGCCCTTCCTGAGCCAATCAGTGTGGCTGGGGAGATACGATGCCCTGGCTGGCTAGGCCTAAATCACATGCCCACTTGGAGGCCAGGGGAGAATGCCACCGTAGCCAACACTCAGGGGCTTAGAATGTTGGGGAGGGATGTTTCCCAGAGGAGAGGCCCTTGGGCCAGTGCACCCCACAGCTGGGCAGGGCAGCGCTGAGTCCCCACCACAGCTGCTGTGTCTGAACCTCCCTCCATTTAAGCAGATCAGGCTAGGGATTGAGAATGGGACGGTCTCCTGTCTCCTACTGGGCCCGGCGGCCCCTTCTCTGCTTCCCAGGAAGGACTTCTCCTTGCTCAGAACGTGCACAGGGGCTGTGAAGGCATGGAGATGCTAAAGCAAAAGAGGTTTTCATAAGCGTGTCTTGGAACTCGCATTCCCTATCCTGCCTCAGTTTCTTTGGTCCAATCTGGGCCCAGCTGCCCCCAGTGTCACTTGAATTTAAGTTGCTTCTAATGAACTAAGTGTAGTGGTTAAAACCTAGTATTCGGAGGTAGTATAGTGTGATTGTTATGAACACAGGTTCTCTGCCTGAGTTTGAATACTAATTCTGTCACTGATTGACCTTGGGCAGGTTACTTAATCTCTCTGTGCCCCATGTGAAGTGGAAATCATAGAAGTGCCTATGGTGCTATGACAGTTAAAGGAGTTTATAGGTGTATAAACTCAGCGCCTGGCTCCTGGGTGGCATTCTCTGAAGGTGAACTGTATTACCCAGGTGGTTTTGGTCCCTTTCCCAAGGAGTTTCTAAAAATTGCAAGATCTCTTTAGTCAGAAAGATGACTCCCCCAGTGAAGACTTTCAGGAGAGGTTTCTCGGAACAGCAACATCAGTGCCTTCGCTGGAAATGAAGATCATGAAGATGCCACCACACCCTTGGAGGTGGACTTCTGTTTTGATTTTTAAACAGACCTACTGCCTTCTCCACTACTCTTTAATAAGACTGTTTTTTAGAGCAGTTTTAGGTTTACAGAAAAATTAAGCAGGAAATACAGGATGTTCCCATAAGCCCCTGCCCCAGATTCCCTGATACTAACAACTTGAATCTGTTACATTAGTGTTGCAGTTAGTGAATCCTTACTATTAGCCAAGCTGTCATGGACATGTGGGATGTCACTCCTGGTTTGCACAGCTCTGTGCTCTGGACAAATGCATTCTGTCCTCTCCACTGTTAGTTCTGGTGCAGAATAGCTCGTGGCCTGAAGATGCCCACGCTCCACCATTCATCCCTAGCCCAGCCCCAGCGCACTAACACCTTTACAGTCTCTGGCTTTGCCTTTTCCAGCATATTATAGTTGGCATCATACAGTGTGTAGCTCTTACAGGCTTAGCAATATGCATTTAAGTTTCCTCCGTGTCATTAGGTTTTTCTTTATTAAAAGGGGGAGAGAATCTCTGAAAGTACACAGCAGATAAGAAACACGGTGTATCCAGAGATAGAGCGTCCTGCCTGTTTCTCTGTCTTTGCTTCAGATCTTAATTCTTTCCCGTTCAGCCGGAGTCCCCCTGTCTGGTCCAAGCCCCTCTGTGCCCTGCCTTTCCCGTGAGACACCCTCTGTCATGTGCCTTGGTCCATGCTCTTCCCTGCCTCTGTGTGTAGGGACACAGTGAGCCGTGTTGACGGTGTGATGTTGAACTGGCCATGAATGGCATGCTGTAGTGAGTGAGGTCTTTGGTGCAGGGGACTTGGGAGTACAGGGCGTGTCCTTGTCCCCTGGGGCCTGCAGGTGGGGAGGGGGAGGCCTGGCCTGTCTGCCTCAGCAGCTGCAGCCTGGACTCTGCAGACTCCTCCCCGCCCCCAGGATGGGTCACTCGGGGCAGAGAACAAAGCCCCTCTGTGACTTGTTGGGAGTCAGGCTGTGACAAAGGGCAGGAGGGAGGGCTGTGTGCCAGAGCGTGCTGTGCTGATGCAGGGAGGAACACAAAGCTGTCTCTCTTCCTTGTTGTTTTGGTGTCTGTGTGGCTCCCGCCTTCCCCAGCTCTCCGGACAGCAGGGTTCCGCAACGGCAGTTTGGGAAGCAGACCCAGCGCTCCGTTTAGAAGCAATGTGTACCAGCCGACCGAGATGGCCGTGGTGCTGAACGGCGGGACTGTGAGTATCAAGCCCTGATGTTTTGGAGGAAACCTGAGGGGGAGGAATGAGGGGGAACAGCTCCCACAGGGACACAGCTCTGCAGGGGCTGCTAGGCCTGTGCAGACAGCAGCTCTAGCAGACACTGCAGCGGGAACGTGGCGAGGCTGCCATTTCTCCTACCCCTCTCCACGCACCCACGCCCCTGTAGTGTACCACCTGTACCCGGTGTACCGCCTGTACCCGGTGTACCACCTGTACCCACCGTACTATCTGTACCCGGTGTACTATAGCAGTTGCACCACCTGTACCCAGTGTACTACTAAACCCAGTGTACCATCTGTACCCATTGTACCACCTGCACCCAGTATACTATACTGATTGGACCACCTGCACCCACTGGACCACCTGTACCCTGTATACCACCTACAGATTCCCTTAAGTGTCCCTGTATCTTGCAGTTCTTTTACCCAGTGAATTCTTGAGTTTCATTATACAGAACGTATCCCTCTCTCTCTGGGAGGAGACTTAAGAAAAGCCCAGATTGCTGAACTGGTTTGGCCCAGTGGATAGAGCGTTGGCCTGCAGACTCAAGGGGTCCCGGGTTCGATTCCGGTCAGGGGAATGTACCTTGGTTTCAGGCGCATCCCCAATGTAGGGCGTGCAGGGGGCAGCTGATCGATGTTTCTCTCTCATCGATGTTTCTAGCTCTCTATCTCTCTCCCTTCTTCTCTATAAAAAAATCAATAAAATATATTTAAAAAAGAAAAGAAAAGCCCAGAATTACGAAGTGGATTTTGCTGACGCCCAGTCTAGTCTGGCCCCTTCAGCCTTCCCTCCCTGTGCCAGCTGGGCCTGGGCTGCCCACTCCCCTCCCAGAGTTATCTTGAAAAACTGAAGTGCTTCTCGTTCCCCCCTGTGAACACGAAAGCAGGTCAGCTAGCTGATGCCAAACAGACCTCAGCAGAACCATCACTGTCTCTTTTGCCTGTGAATGACCTCATGTTGCTTCTCCATCGAATCAGATACACTCTCATCCCCACATTTACTGCCAAGCGCACTCCCTGCTTCTTCCTAGTGCATGAGCCACTGCAGGCGAATGGATTTCCATTCCTCTGTCATGTGCCGCGCCCGTGCTCGGCCTCGAGCTTTGGGATATGGTCAGGACTGTCTGCGCTGGGGCAGGGCTCCCGCCTGTGGGTGTTGTCGGCGTTGCC